TATTCGATCTTCCTGGGTAGACGTCACAACAGCCGCTGGACCCATTCTCCTCAAACTCGGTCGTGAAACAAAATGGCGGTGTTTTGGGGCTATTTTCGCGATTTCGTCGGGGCACAGAAAATCGAGGATTTAACCGAATCCAAAAATTTTTTCGCAGAAGTATTTCAAATAACATGTAGATTCGTTCTAGCGAAAAAAAAATTTGGGGGTTAGGTACACTTTAATGCTTGCAAGATATCAGAGGCGGTGGGAGAATTGCTGACAGACTATGAAAGTAAAAAGACTTTTTTTTCAGTGGTTATATTCCTGTTACCCGTTGCAGATGGATTGCATGACGCGACTTGAACGAAGGAAACTCACTGTGCTGTCACTGGTCACGTTGTTACCATTAAATGTGAAGTATGATTATGTCTCAGTTTTACTGTGTTTTAGTCAGCTGTTATGATACAGTCATTATTGGTGGCTAAACATTGTTACAGTATCATTGTCAAATCAATCATTATAATAGTACAGAAGCATATCACCTATCTAGGTGATATGCTTCTGAATAGTATTATTCGAAACGCTATAAGAATGAAAGACCCGACTACCTCGAGGAAATTGTTTGCTTATAAATCCGAATCCCCCACGTAGAAGTCACTGTGGTACTCCACAGTGTTTTAGATTAAGAGTCTAAACCCACAGCCCCTCCTCTGGCCTAAAATGCCACTGTATCTATTTTAACAATGTTGAAGATTTAAAGAGATTATTCACGAAGCGTTTGTTCCTATTCCGCATTTTTCTGTGACATGTTTCAAAGTGGCTTAACCAAACAAGGTTAAAAATTAGTTGCTCATAGCGTGCACACCCAACACCTTAACAAGGTAAAACCTGTTTAATTAAAATATGTTTGCAAGGTGGTTTGAAATTTGTCTTCTCAAAATGACCTCAAAGCGTAATCAACAAATACACATTTCACAATGCTCTCTTGAAAGTTTCAGTGCGTGTTTCCCTCTTTAAAGTCAGTACAACCCAAGAGTGATATTCTTTTTTCCTCCATCTTGCAGCACCAAGTGTGTCGTTGACAAGTTTGCAATCATTGTGGACGCTGCTGTTGATGTCCTACACGAGATCCACAGAGTTGAGGATGGCGACACACATACCGAGTAAGAGATGATGTAGAGCAGCAAAACATTTCCTATTACGCCCATCTGTTTCTTCTTCCTTAATGACGGTTTCTTTTTCGCTCTTTAGTTGCTTAGTGCTGTTTGGCGGCGATAACGATGATGAGGAGGAACACACTGAGGGACACAAAAGAAAACGAAAGGTAGAGTTCTGGAAATGAACAGTCAAAAAAGAAAGTAGTGTGAGTTGTTTCGGAGATCAAATGAAACAGTTAGCAGTTAATTATCAATTTGATGCTGCTAAAGAAAAAGAAACTGTCTTGACTAATCGATGAATGTTGACTTCTCAGAGTTAGCCCTGTGCAAATGACTTCAAGTCATACCACTGTACGGACGACAGACGTTACCAATGGACGATTCGTACCCAGATGATTCCTGCCTAACTCGGACGATTCGTACCCAGTCAATGGGCCATGTACGAGATACCTGGTTCCTCTTTTCAAAAGAAGTCCTCGTGCAAAACCTTTCATATGAAAATTAGTTTGATGTACATGAAAATGAACCTATAGTCGGGACACATTTTCACATGAACGGTTAATAAATGTGTGAAGACTCGTTTAGACACAGAAGCAACAGGCAACTAGGAAATGGTTCATTCAAACGTTTCGTACCTGCTCTACGGACCACCAAAATGGACTACTCTGGAATTTATACCGAAAGCTCCTTTAACATGTGAGGCCAGCTACTGCAGTTTGTGTTGATTAATATGTTTCTTTTTTTTCAGTTATGTTTGTCAGACCCAGTTCATTGTTACCCTCTGTGGATGTTCGTGCGGGACAAACTTCACGAGTGTCACTCTGTTTACGGACAGGAAACTTTCCAGTACCTCATGGGGTGTCTGGACTCAGCGGTAGCTACCCAACTTGGCAACTTTATAAATCACTAACATGTCACCTAATGGTCCACTCATTAACACACTGAAAGAGAAACTGAGGCGGTAGTACGAAAATGGACAAACTCGCCGTAATCAACTGTGAGTGCGAGTATTCGGAGCTTGTTGCTAAGCGACATGGAACGCGATGATGGCAAAAACCTCACGTAACAAGGCTCGGAGTCCTGGGATTGGTCTCTGGAGACTTCCTTGTCCGTCGCCTATTGAATAAATTGTTAAGACAAATGAAAACCGTTCAATGAGGGAAAAAATATATTTGACTCATCAGCATATGCACTTCAGTACCGCATGGAGCTACATGAGTGACAACTCTGAATATGCAGAAAACTGAGAGGGCATGGCACGATTGGCTGTTGGAAGAAATTGTAAAGCCGATGAATTTAACACTTCGTGGGCTTAAAAACTCAAAATTTTACAGGGAATGTATGGGCTCACCCAGAAATTTTACAGTTTTTGAAAGCCAGTATCTCTTGTACTATAACACCTTAAGAACTAAAAACATTTCTTCAATTAGCGATTCTTAACTGTTTGGAGTCGTCTTATCTAACATGGCGCTTTCTCTACGCAAAGTGGTATGGTAATGAGGCAAAATATGTACTGTGACGTCAGCAAAGAACCTGTAAAAGTACGTTTTTAGCTGTTGATATTCCCTAATAACAGACAAAGTCAGATAATGTTCTGAGACAGTCAAAGTTCGTCTTGTGTTTATCAATCACTCCGTAACGGGCATGCATGGAGGTATGTTTTCTGTTCAAAAAGGTCTGCAATTGAGCAAGGAAACGTTCACGTGCCACCTTACTTCCTCCTTCACACTTGTACAAATAAATGTTTAAGATGCTGATATTATCACAAACAAAGTTAGGTAATGTTTTTCGATCAATTCGATGGCCGTTTGTCATTCACACTAGTTACTCTTTACCATGCTTGGATTTGTATTTTATGGGCAAAAGGGACATGTTCTCTTCCTCTTCCCCCTTCCTTCTTCTCCTTGTCCCCCCCCCCTTGCCCCCCTGTTGCTCCCTCTACTACCCCCACACCCCACCGTGCTTTGCATATCTGATTTCGTACTTACGGCGTGTTTTTCGATTTAAGAAATCTTTCTGGTGACGAGTCTTCTTTTCCTGAGATTCCTCGTCAGGAAAGACAAATATCGGAAAGTTCTCAGAAGAATGTAAGTATGAACAATTGATTAAATTACTTAGGCAGCAGTATGGTTATTTTCGGTGATAAGAATGTAATTCAAGGTCATCGATAAAATTAGGCGACCATATAATCAATCATTCGGTCAACGCGTGGAAGTGTATTAGTAACTAGTAGTAATCAAAGATTACGAGAAAGCCTTCGACGCCTTTCATAACTTCATTACCTGACTTTAAACTCCTGCCTATTGCTATAATCAACATTTTTTATATCAACAACGGAAGGTTTAGACATATAACATAGTGACAAAGTCCAAGTTGTGGTTAGCAAGTAGAAGTCTCCCCTACAAATTAAGATTTGTTGAAACGTTGCGTTACTGCGTCAGTTTCTGTAAACAGAACTAAAATATTTGCATTTGCCCTCAAATTTCATGCTTAACATTTTCACATTTACTGGTAATGTTTAAGCGTAAAGCTAGTTTGTTGCATTGTAAAGTATATTTTTTTACGCACAGTTTCTAGGCTGGAAGCACGAATATTTAAAAATTATTCCATGAGCGCGCGTTGGATATGAGATGGTAAATAGCCAATCTCATATCCAACAAGCGCGAATGGAATAATTGTTTTATTAAATTCGGTGCGTTTGTATTCTTGGAAATATAGCTTAATTTTATTAGGTTTTAATTTTACAAAACGACCGGAAGTCGATGTGACAAAAACAACAACAAGTGGGAAATCACATGACATGCGCGCCGTTTGTAAAATTAGTTGAATG